ATATACAGCGGAATACCGCATAGAGCAGGTGCGTTATATGTTCAAAAAAATTGCAAACATTGCAGTAAAGTACAGCTGAGAGGTTACACTGCCCCAAATTCTGGCAAGGATTGCGGCCAAATGACGTTTCGGGCGCTCACACTACAATTAAAATGACTATGAGAATGTTTTATGCGAAAACTTTCGTTGCATACGACGATGCTGTGAAGCTTCACATTTCTTAACTGCGAATGTACGATGATTAGAGCATTCACTATCACATGAAAAACAAACTTTTGTTAAGTCATAGGCTCGCAATTCCGCGTGATTTACTGATGTTTTGTGCACGATTAGCGTTGCCATCTTTTTTTAGAAGGGAATGTTGCTGCGATGCGGTCTTCATTGTGCAAATATGGTTCATTCTGCGTTATGATTCGGTAGGTTGCACTGGTACGGCGAACATGAAAAAACATCTAACAACTGGTTACCCAGCCGCGAAAGACTGATCATTGTGCTGTTTCAATAGCTCCTCTTTTTTTACTATATGGACAAGATGGTACATGGAACCGGGTATTAACAAGTTTCTGAACAATTTGATACTAGAGGACTATACTGTTCATTTCTTTGCATATGGAACGGATGCTGATTTATGGCGAGAAAATCTGCATTATTGCTGCAGAAAAACTGAATACGATAATCCTGATGAGCTGTTTGATTATTCAGTTGAAACCTCAATTTTATCGAAAGTATATTCAACATCAAAGTTAGAGTGATTATAATGCGTAAGACATTTAGCTTTAAAAGGACTTTTGATAAATTCAGATGAGAAAAATTGCAAATGTTCATATACGAATGTTTTGGAGCTTCTTCCATCTGTTTATGAAAATGAAAATGAGACAGCGTGTGATGAACAAGCGACTCGTTATTGAAGGGCCAAATTGCAATATTTTTACCTTAAATGGAACTGATACATGAAACTTACTAGTGTGAGAATTCTCAAAAAGGCGATCAATATTTAACAGTTTTTCAAAAAAGTAATTAAGGTATGAGAGGAGGATATATGCAAAATGTGAACGACGACTCAGAAATAGAGCGCGCTCAAAACTGCACTTAATTTGGCACAGAATGAAATAGGAAATAGCCTAGGCCTTAACAAAGCGAAAATCAAACAGGAGCAGCGGCGGCGG